TTACGTAGAATAATATGAATCTATGCATAATAGTATATTGTAATATCAATTTTGACACATAAAACTTGCTTGTAGTTTTTTAGAAATAACAAATAATTAAATCAGCAAAACAAATGTATGTAGTTACTGAAATAATAAATGTAGCTCTTAGATCTAGTGACCTACATTTTATCTATTAATTTAATTTTTAATTAATAAAAATTTCGAGACTAGAATTGTAATTATTATTCGACATTTCTCCCTAATTTTGTTTCTGATATCTGTAAATTTTTATATACATATTTTAAATCTCATTCAAAAGTAAAAAAATTAATTTTCATTAATCTTTCTGCACTTGTAAAGTTTATTTTTCGAAAGTAACTTTTTTCATTTTTAATTACATATAACTGAAAAGCTATTAATTTTTTACCACTTAGTTTTTGTTAACTTTCAGAATGTAACTTTGATGAGATTACGGAAGTTTTTAATATCTATCATATGTCGACTTTTTCTTCTAACACAAACAATAATAATATTGATAGTTTTATTATTTGCTCGTCTATTTTTTTAAAAATTGATTAAGAAATTTATAGAAGAAAGTTAATAAATAATTTTATCGTTAAAAAATAATTTTTCTTTCCAATTTTTTAATAAAAACATGTTATATTCTAATAATGAATAAAAAAGTTACCTATAAGAATGGAAAAAAAGAAATAAAAATTTTTTAAAATTTGAATATATCCTATATATCATCCAAAGTTAATTATCTCTTCCAAATTAATTGGAACATAAAAATACAGTATATCCACTAAATTATAATTTTTCTACAATAATGTTATTTATAATTATAAAAGGTTCATAGATGTTGCTCTATTAATAAGAATTGTATATTTTTAGTACTGGAAAAATTGTGTATCCCAAAAAGGGAAGTCTAAGGGTGGCTATTCTGGCCTTCTGGTACTTATGGAGAACCTTGTTTAGTACCGCCATCTGAGTTTATTTTAAAAGCTACGTAGAGTTACATAGTCCCATCCACATTTTTCGACACTGCTGGTAAAATCATCGTTTAGTTCACGTATTACACAAATATAAATTAGAAACATCCTCCATATATATTTTATTAATTACGCATGTTTTTCTATTCTAACATATATTGTAAACATTAATTATGAGACTTATGATGAGAGAGACACCCTGTATAGATACATATGTATCATATCCAGATGGCGATACTAAACTATATGCTTTGATAAGTATTTTACATGAGAAACATTGGGATAGCTACTCTCAAACTTCTTTATGATATGCACGTTATATGTATATATTATATAAAATTATTTTATTATATAATCACTCCCATTACATTTGTTTATTTTCTCATAATTTCGATAACATGAAAGAGACTGAATATATTTAAAAAATTATTCATGTTTATTTTAAAAAATCCTCATCGCCAACATGCTTATAATATTTCGGGTAAAATTTCTTATATTAAATAATAAATATTTTACATTTGATATTAAATATCTATTTGTATAAATGATATTAAATATCTGATATTAAATATCTATTTGTTTAAATGTTGAAATTGAATGCAATTTTCATGCTAAACTAAGAAAACTCAAGCACTTAAAATAATAAAAAAAATATTAAAGTTAATTCATATAATACTTTCATAGAAATATTTTAAAATATTATTTTATATGTGTATTTTTTATTTCAGATTATTTTGCAAAATAATGTTATTATATTTAAGATTATTTTGCATTTATATATAATTTGATAAGCTTGGAAAATAATATGTTAATGATATTAAAATGCGTTTCATATATCGTCTTAAGCAATTTAAACGTTACATTGTTGTGGTAACTTTTAACATCAACTTTAACACGATTTTTACATTTTGTACTATAATATCTTCGCAGAAGTGTATCAGCGATAAAAAAATAGAAGAGGAGCCTCTCTACTTGAGTCAGAAACTGAAATAAATCAAAAAGATTAGGAGATACGGGAGAATGGCCGAGAGTAACTTATAACGAGACTCACGTCGTCGCCGGTACCCCATAATTACTGGCGCCGATAAAAAAAGAGGAAAAAAACGCAAAACAAAACAGACAGCCGCCGTGCAGCCACCTTTTAAAAAGGTGTTAAAGTGTGCTTTGTGCCCGTGTGTTCCATGCGGGGTAGGTGTTAATTTAAAACAAACCTACGGATAGAGCGCCGATTTGAAATCCAGCCGCCGTGTACTTTAATTCACCCTGAAATTTCGACCGGCCGATCTCCGTTTCAGTGGCGTACAAAGAAGATTTCTTATCTCGATTAGCGACTTAGATATCATGCAGTAAAGACTGAATATCTAGAAGTCTGTCTTTGAGTTATTTAAATTTAATCGAGTTATTTCGCGGATATAACTTTCCTCTATCATTGATTTTATATATATATAATGAATTATGTTTATAAATTTATTTATATAATTATTTTTTGAAGTATTCTATGCTTTGAGATATATTATAAAAAGCAAAAGTTATTTTATGGATGATAATAAAACAAAATAAACAAAATTAGACATATAAATAATAAAAATGGGGAACAGATTCTCTGTTGCAAAATTTTAGTAATATTTGATTAATTTCGGCAACTTCAACAACACGCCACTGTGATAGCAGATTTTCGTATATAACGTGTAATCAGCACAGCAGTTTCGAACCAATTTTTTTATGTTTACCTTCAGGCAATGCCCACCTTCCTTTCGCACCTTGCCATTTCTTTCTCATCACTCGAAGGTGATTTTACGATTCGCGTCCACCAAGAGATGAGCAACGCCCTCGAAAGTCTAGGACGAGTTGATCTATACGCAAAACTGCAGCAGTAAATTATTGTTTTTATTATCATGAAATTCTAGCCTTCCGCCCATTATGTATTAATTAAAATAAAAATTATAAAAATAATATTGTTATAGAAACTATCCCAAGTAATATTATTTTATTATAAGTAATTTTATTATAATTTCTATAAGGAAAAATGATATTTTATACATACATCTACACACACAAAATTGTAGCAACTAAGAATGAGAAACAATATATATAATTGTCGTATAATATGTATATAAAAATCTTTCTATTTTATGATAGAAAAAATCTATTTTCTGCAAAACAATTATTATAATCTAATGAAAAAATTATTATTATGTGGAATTTTATGTTAAATTAAGAACTTGTTATAATTAATACAAATATAGTTATTTTTCTAATTTTTCTAAAAATAAATTTATATTTTATATTATAATTAAATTTCATTTATATTATAATTAGATTATTACATTTATTTTATAATAAAAAAAGATGGAAAGACGATGCTTGAAACGTTCAAGTCGTTTTTTAAATAAGAAATTTTTACACGTTGAAACTTTGTATTATAATATTTTCTTTTATGTAGGCCACGGAGTTTGTGGAAATAAATACACATTTTCCCAGATATAATTAACTTCCAACCTAGCGATTAAACTTATTAAGAACTTAATTGGCCCAGCCGTTACTGATCCGCTAATTTAAATCTAAGCTTCTCATAATTGGATACCTCGTTTATAGATACACGAGATTTAACTCGACGTATCTCTTTCGATTATGCGAATTATTTCACAAATTATATCGCTGATATCATTATTTTCGATAACACTTTTCTTATCATCAAATCTTATTATCAGCAAAGATACTTAACAGCCAACACAGCAATTTTTCATGTAATATTCCCTTCGATAATAAACCCGATAAAAAGCCCGATTTTTCAGGTAAGCCTCGAGCACATATCAATTCATTACAGATTCGATCGATCTTTCTTTTCGATCCATAATGCACGCGGTCCAGGCGTTAACGAGACAGCTCCGGAGCCATTAAGATCCCAGCTTATCACGATCGGGATGCAGCACGCGAAAAGACTCGTTTTCCAAATTGAAAACGCGCCGGTATCGCGGCGAACAATCGGCAGAGCTTGATCTGCTCGCCCTCTAATCGCCAGTTAGTCGGTCCGAGTGCCGCGATCTATCGATTTATCGGTCCACGGAATTAGCATTCGAGGCGTGCGGATCTCACCGCGCGGATCTCTCGGGCTCCAGCCACGTAAATTTTGGGGCCCCCTTCCTCCAACCCTGTAAGGGATAGATCTCACTTGCGATCTATGCGTAATTCATCGATTCGTTCTACTCCCGACGAGTAGATCCGCGCGCGATACATTTGTACGAGATATTATCGTATGCGGCTAGGAAAAAATAATAAATCAAGAAATATTAATGTTATACGGCATAATGATGGCTTTTCTGAGCCAAGTTCGGCTCATTCGACGGACTTCATTCGCTGCTTCACGATTACTTGGAGTAACTGCACCGAACAAGAAACATAATAAACGGCCGCGTGCATCGCGTCGCCCCAAGAGAAAGAAAGTTCTAATTCTGCACAGCCCCACCGAGAACAGACGAAGCGCGTGGCCATATTTTACGGGTGGAGGCGTGAAACGGATAATTTTCGAGGGAAGCAATAATCGGGTCGTATATCAGGCCGCAGGAACGGCCTTCAAATTATCGGAAACGAGGGCCAAAACTAATGGGTCCCGCGTTAAACCGTTTGGCTCCTGCCTTCTGGCTCGACGATGCTGATTCACGCCAATCCATTCGCCGTTTTCGCACCGCACGAGCCGAAAAACTAGTCGCTTCTCACGTCAGACATGTCCGATACTCGAGAAACTTTATGCCTTGAAGAAAGTTTAGAGAGAAGCAGGGAAACACGTCTTACTTCTTGCTGCAGTTTCAAAGCAATCGAAATATCTTCAATTTTTAAAGAATATAACATTATAAGTTTAACAATAAATGCTCTTAAATAAAGGCTCTTTTTATTTTAATAATTACGTGAGGAAGTTTAGAAAATGAGCTGGCCCCACGTATAGAATAAAAAATGACAAATTTATCAAATAATTATTAAATAAATAAACGAAAACCGAAACTAAAATACCTGAAATTCATGATAATTATTTTAACACAAATATTTTTTGTTGCCATTTTTTACAATTTATTGATGATCATATTCTCGAATGCGGAGACTAATATGCAAATCATCGATTTTACCAGATTTGATTGCTAATAGATTTGAATGGTTTGTCACAGACCGTTCCCGCTATCGCTGCTTGAATCGGTGTGGTGAATATTCTAAAGTTTATATCTGTGTAATTTAGAGTCGACAGCAAAAAAATCGGCATCCGATCCGATATGATCCAGAGCAAGTCTCGTTTCACCTAGGAAAGCAGGCAGTGAAGAGTGAAAAAGAGGGCAGTGAAGAGTGAAAGTAGTATGACGAGATAATTTAATTAATTGATATACCTGTTATCTATTAGGAAACCCGCATATGTATTACCTTAATATCTGCTGGAAATACCATAGCCTCGTCGTGTCTGGCGATAACTGCCTGATTAATTGGCGCGTAAGGTAGCATGGAATTCCAACAGCCGACTGCATTCTGATCGATCAAGTTAAAGAACTGAAGTCCGTTCTCGTCCATTACAGACGCCGTGCAATGGGACAGCGGCCCTCTTGACGGCAATACCTACGTCGTACAAAAATTAACAATACAATATGATTGTGCATTCATGTGTATATAATTAATAATATCGGATTTTTTATTTAGTTTAATATATTTTTTTGTTTTGATGAAATTCTCGAGAATTTTCAGATACAAATCAAATATAACTTCTTGCTGCAGTTATCGAAGGATTCAAAATATTTTTATTTTTGAAATAATATAACATTATATAAATTTGTAAATAATATAAGACGATTAAAGATTTTTTAATTTTACAATTGTGTAAGAAAATTTAGATAGCAAGTGACTCTCTCTCTCAAATAAAAGATGAAAATTTTATCTGATAATTATTAAATAAATACAAAAAATTAAAATTAAAATACCTGAAACTCATGATAACTATTCTGAGATAATTGTTGATTCCTCAAGATCCTCGTGGAAACTGCGAATTCCCGATAGCTGCTGAGAGAATGAAAGAAGAGAGTCCGGTAGCCATCTGCTTGTATCGGTGACAGACTCATCCCAAAAATGCCTTCTTCTCCCCATTGGAAGTTCAAGCCTCCGATATTATAATCGCCTGCCAGAGGATCCGGCATAAAGTAGCTGTGCGTTATTCGCCAAGATGTATTCTGCTGCCATGAATACACGATCAGACCGTAGCCGAGTTCGTCAGACATGTAAGCGAAGGCATCGTCGCAATCTTTTCCCAGATCAACCGCAATATTGGCGATAAAAGTATTCTAGATGATAGAAGAAAAAAGGGCGTTTAAATGGATTAAAAATTAGAGATGCAACATAAATCGAGTGCAAAAGACATACCTGATTAATATCGTCCGATCTGAGTCTGTATTGCCTTATAATTTTATCCGTCCTCAAATCAAATATATTCAGGGTATAAGGACAAGCTTGCACAGTCGTGTCACCGATTCCTATTGTTCCGGTATCCAACACCCACAGTCTATCACATGCATCTGCATGAATCCTAAAAAAAAATTATACAATGTTTTATAAAATGTCTTCGAGCTTAATCAGCAATGTTACCTGTAAACGGTCGTCAGTCCGCTACCGCAGGCACCAGCCCTATTTTGAGACCAATTCGGATAAGGTATAAGCTTCGGCGATACACCTTGATTAACGTCCAACGGTATGTAATTCAACGTAGCTGGTATTCCTATAATATAACGTTGCAATCATTGTATTAATATTAAATTAAATATTAAATTAAATATTAATTGATTAACATTACAATTATAAAAATTAAATTTTATTATATAATTGTTTCAAAATCAGCACATAACGATTAACATATTAAAATGTAAAAAGATAAGTCAAATAAATATTATAATATATATAGAAATATATGACATCATGAGTGTGTAATTAAAAGTTAAATGGTGTAAAAAGAAGAAAAGAAGATGCGAAAGTGAGGGGGAGAGATATAAAAAATGCGCGAAAGGAATTGCGTTGAATTTGCGAAGGCCTCGCGAAGGAAGTAAAGAAGAAGGATGGAAGGGTGGAACATTAAAGAGCTTACACAGCGTGCCGCCGTCATTGTTTGGTCTTTGTGCGACACAAAAAACGGTGGCGCGCGCCAAAGTATATAATAAACATAGAGCGTGCAAAAAAATGGAGTGAATAAAGGCCAGCCGAGAGCTTGAATAAACCCGTTCGTCGCGCTGTGTTTCGCTTTCCCTGGCGGTAGAGAGGTGGAAGGAGAGAAGCGAAGAGAGACCCCCCTCGTTTACAGCGGGGGAAGGGGAGTCCGGGTCCGCGGAGATGGGGGCGGTGGACAGAAGAGAAAGACGGAAACCCTCCCATTGAGAGCGCGCTCGCGATTTTCGGCGCTTTTTGTCGCGGACCGGAAGTCGCGCAGACGGGAATCGAGGCGCGCACCTCCTATGGCGATCTTCCGCGCATTATACCGGCGTCTGCTTCCGGTTTCTAACTTTGAAGCGTCGCGCCTCGTTTCTTTCGGCACAAGACGAGTTCATTTGTCTGTCGCGTCATTAATCCAGACAAAAGCGTGGCCGTAATTTTTTAATGATTAATATTTCTGACGTTCACCATTACGCCATCTTGGCACCGTGATGAAGAGCTTGTTCTTCCAGATCTCGATGCCGACAGGCAGAGAATTCTCTGGCACGTATTCGCCGCTCGCTATCGCTGATTGTCGGCTGCGCTGATCCGGATAAGCAAAGTCCATCGTCCTCCAGATGAATCTTTCCCAAAGCGGAGCACGTCCTACCTGCATGCTCCATATTTGAACCCCATCGACGTTTCCGATAGTCCGGAGTGACAGGAAAATCGAGATGAGAGCCAGGAAATACCAGACGCAATGATTTTTCATCCTCGTTATTTAATATTTCTGTGAAAAATATGTTTAATTAAAAAATATTATTATATGATAATTATTTTCTGCGTAAATAATGTAAATAAGATGTGACATAAACAAATGCATTATAATAAATATTACAGATATTACAGACATATATAGATATATATTATAAAATATTCTATTATAAATTTATATAAATTTAAGAAATTGATTTAATTATATAATTAATTATATATATATATTATTAATTAATTATATATTTAATATATATATATAAACATAGAGCATGCAAAAAAATAGAGTGAATAAAGGCCAGCCGAGAGCTTGAATAAACCCGTTCGTCGCGCTGTGTTTCCCTTATATAAACATATATATATATATATATATATATATATGTATATATATATATATATATATATATATATATCTTCGCGTATATATTAAGAGACACGATAGTGTCTCGCGCCAAGTTTATGCGGAGCATTAGCGCGGCACTCTGTGTATTTAGATGCGAGTCGGACAATTAAGAATAAGTCAAATTATCGGATTTAAAATAAGTAAGTAAAGTTGTAAGTTTCTTACTCTTGACAGAAAATTGCACTAGCGACGCTTTCCGATATTAATGACATATGTCATTAATGACATGTATCATTAACCGCATTTTGAGTAGTGATAAGTAATAAAGTGCAAGTTAAATAATAACTAATTAAATTATTAATTAAAAATTTGCAAAAGCTAGTAAGATATGATAATTGGAGTCTAAGGTAAATAAATATATCTATTTTACAAGCTATATATATTATATAATATATATTATATATATTGTACTTATATCTACATATATTTTTATATAATTTGCTTATATATTAAAAAAATATACATATACACATATATATATATATGTATGTATATATCTTTTTTTTAAACATAATATCTCTTAGCAAATTATACTAAAAAAAGAAGTCCTACTCCCCAAAAACTTACCTTTTTAAAAAAAGGTAAAAAAAGAACGCCAAATTCATGCACTAATTGTATCCAACTGTCCTATTGTCCACAAAAATAGTGATATAAAAAAATTGCACCAACTAAGAATAAAAATTTGTACAAGATAAATAGAAGTACAAAGCAGAAAACTTATACAAGTTAAATAGAAATATTTTAATTGAAAATTTGTTATACATTGAAACATTGTTATACAAAATAGTTGTTTTAATTTTCAAAAATAATAATATTAAAAAATTAAAAAATTATTTAAAAATTGTAAACTGAAAATTAATATAAAACAAAAAAGTAAAAAAATTTTAATTTAACATTTTTTTAAATCAGTTTTATTACCAAACACATTGCAAAAAGTTAATCTCTCTTGATGTAGAAAATAAAATATATTGTTATTATGAGATTTATGTGTCAATCAATTTATTGTATATTATTAACTTTCTAATGTACAGCTTAAATTAAATTAGTATATTTTAATTAGTCAATAATGTCAAGAAATGACATCTTTAAATTTATATTTATAATTATAAATTTATATAATAAATAAATATATTTAAATACATTCATTAAATGCACAATATAAGATATTGCAGAATTAAATGCATAGTTCAAATTAAGGTTTGTAAAAATTTGAAAAGTTGAAAATTCTTAAGTATTAAAAATAACTTTAAATTTCATTAAAAATTATCTAAACCAAAAATAAAAATTATCAAAATATTGAATATACACATAATAAAAAAAGAAAATATCATAAAATCTTCTTTTTATATATCTGAGAATTAAATCCGTTCACATTAAAAAGTTCTCTATATACAACTTAATAATACATGAAACAGCTATTTTCCCTCATAATGTAAAATAATTTCAATTTCATCGCGGCTATAAGATGAAATCTTATTACATAATTATTTGCTTCCCTCGATATTTACCACATTTATCCAAATAGATACGATATGAATCAATATTTTCGATAGACACTCGAACACAAAATTATATAAATCGAAAAATTGTGAGAGGGATGCGAAAAGAAAACGGAGATTTTTGTACTCTAAACACTTGGAGTTACCGACGCACTTTCAATCCTAAACTGTGTGTTCCTGTAATACGCTCGCCGTATATAAAGCACCCCAGTCTTGTAGCTAAACCATAGCTAAATCATATCACGCGGAAACTCATGTCCCACACATAGAGAGAAATGCATCTTGGCGTGTACTTATGCTCGCGCCTATCCAAGCAATCCTATATTAAGCAGTCTGGACATCGTATGCACCTGCATTTATGCATTTCGACGTGTCAATTTAATACTAAGAGAGAGGAAAAGTACACTTTGCACGTGCCTTGAAAACTTTAGAACCGAGTCTATTCTCAAAAAATTTATTTATTTATTAATTTGCTAAAATTAAAAAGATAATAAAAAGATAATAAATTGTTTATGAAAAATATGTTCCATATTTAAATTACGAATACTGATTACAAATTTTTTAATTCAATGTCGATTAAATTTTCGACTAAATTTACTCAGAGATAAAATTATTGCCTTTCTACACTATTTAATTTATATAAACGATACTTGTGAGTAAAAATTTACTTTGTTATTCTCTTTTATTATTATTATTATCAGTTTCGTTAGATTTTGTATCGGACAATCACTATTATAATAATAATTTATTTTAAATAACAAGTATTATATTTACTGATAGAAATGGTAGAAAATCTAAAATGTCTTAATTACAATTAATAACGTAACGTACACAAATTATATTATAATTAAATACACAACAATTCTCAAACAACAACAAATCGTTAAATAAATTCCTCAACTAATTTGCAACTAAATTACGAGAGTTTTATAAATTTGAGAGTAAAAGTAAAGTATGTTGCGAGTGACTAGTCTCGTTATAGTTGAATATATTGCAAGCAAACTCACTCTATTCGCAATGACAGATGCAAACAAGATTTCTATAAATCATAATGAAGACTATCGATGCGTATGACCGCACTTTATTTTAACATTAGCCGCGAACGGAATGATTAAATTGAATCTGATAGCGATTTAATTAAATTCATAAATCTCCGACCATGCCCATCGGGGGGGGGGGGGGGGAACGTGAAAACAGTGCGAAAGGGAGGGAGGAAAGTCATTCGTTAGCCGTAACGAGATGACGACAAAAAGCCGCCGTCTGTCTCACGGATGATCGGCTCCCGAGAATAAATTCCCGAGGGCGCTCCGTTATCTTCCCGCGCAAACTGACGGCTGAAATTGCGTTCAGTCCACCTTCTCGTCCCCTTCTTTCCCATCTTCCTCTCTATCCCTTCCGCCGCGTTTCATTAATCAGCGCGCTCTTCCTGAAGGATGCAATCAGAATTTGTGAAAATGAATAATTGCCGGCGGGCTCGAAATACTATTTCGGTTTAATTATCGACGACGCGCGCGCGACATTAACGGTAAATCGAATACAACGTTTGGTCAGATTAACGCGGCAAATTTACCCTTACGTGGAACAAGTTTGTTGTATATATAAAATATATAAGGTAGTGATAAAAGTACTCGATTTACGCCGTAGAAATCCGGAAGTGTGCCCTTCTGCTCCTCTTTCCGCGCAATAACAAGCTTATTATGACGATTACGAGTTACCGTAATTTAAGGAAATTGAATGAGACTGCTATTTGATTTCCTACTTTCATAGCGATCAATAAAAGACGCAATTTCCAGTCTATGACCATTAAAAGTTCAAACAATCTGCAACACTTGTATCATGTAAATTTAAAAATTATTAATTCTGGTTTCTATTTATTGCTATCAGATATGTTAAAATTGTATCATATAAATGTAACATTATAAGTGTAATATAAATGTGTTTCGAGAAAAATCTTGAGATGTTGACACAAGTCACGCTTTGCCAACTTTAATCGATTCTTGCCAATATGATTGTCAAAACAATCTCTCGAATGAAAAGATATCTGGCAGTCGTGGAACCGATTAAATCGCATGTGTTACCAACTTACCTTGATTGGCATATTTTTATTTTCACAAACGCTGGAACCAAAGGCCCGTGAATTTTACGCGATTCAATCAGTCATGCAACGCTATATAAGTGAAAGTCCCGAAATGGGTCAATGCACATATTCCAGTAAACATTGTGCATTAGGTTTAATCGTACGTGTAGTTTTGACTTTCGTCAGCTGCGAAGTTAATGCGAACCGACTTCGCATTTTCTTGGTGCCCCATCAAGGCCGCCTAGATTGCTTTCCGGATCGCTCGACTGCTTTCTAGTTGACATGGTAATTTAAAAGCGACCACTCTCGCTTGAATCATCAGAGATCACTGCCTATCATTTTTTCATTAAACGCTTTTTGCTAATTATTAAAATATCAAGAATTTTAAGTTACAATAAAAACCAACACCTATCAACACCTATTATTATTAAGTGCAAAGTTGCACTTGAATCCAAATATTATTCTCTTCCACGCTTTTTTGAATAATATATAGGTGTTGATTTTCTGTCTTTTGCCTTATGACACGCGACTTACGGTTCTTATTATCCAAAATTTCGGTTTTTATTGTAATTATTATTTTTAGAACCCTCAACGACTCTACATTTTTTAATTTAATAAGAATTTTAAGATATGGAAACCAGTCCTATTTAAGTCATATTTTTGCAATTAGTAATATTACGTAACGCGTGTAAAAGTCAGTTCAACATACGCTATTAATGATAAATGGATTTTTTCGAAAAAAACCAATTAATATCGAAAGCTCTTTGGGAGATGACCAAAGTTGGAAAGTGGGACGCCGCGCGAGTAAATACTGAATATCCCTCGCGTTACATATAATACTGTCATTATACACGTTTTCACTGATTCAACCGCACGGTTAATTGCACGGTTTGCATTTCGTGGTAATAATTATCGGGTAATAATTAACGTACGAATGTATGGCGCGATGCAACACGAGGTATTATATGCATAATTACAAAGTACGTTGTATCAATGTAGCTTCTTTTTCAACACGTAAGCATAAGCGTTGAAATGACACTTGGCAGAATTTGAAGTTCGATTATCCACGAAGGAAAATTTAATTTTTCCGATTATTTCCGTTCACACAGATAGCATCAATAGGATATTGATAATATCGTACGCTATATAAATGAAAGTTATAGTGTTCAATTAAACAAATAATTATTCGTACAGAGTAAGTACAATTTGAACGTAATTTTTTTTCATCAAATGTTATTCGTTTTAGTTTAAAAACCTACGTGTCCTGTGACATGCGAAATATAATGAAGCGCACCTTAAGTCATTTTATATGCAGCGCTCGTTAATTCCATTTGCTCCTCTCGCTCGAAAATAAATCTCTGCCTTCGGGCTCCCAGATTTTACATACGGGTCATCGACGTATTTGGATGCGTGCGGTACCTCTGAAGGTCTCAGACAAATTGCGATCATTAGTCTCCGGGATCTGATTGTAATGAAATAATTGGTGTACGATGGTCTCTATGAGTATTTGTACGAATCGCAGCTGTGCAAATTGAAGGGGATTCAGCTAAATAACGGTGCGGAACGCGAATAAAACTGTAATAACATAAACGAAACGACGAAAGTTCGTTGTTTGCGGGTCCAATTGTGCAACGAGAAATTGACGGTTAACTCGAATGATCGACCTCGTTTTCATTAAGTACATAATTTTGGACGTAAGACAGAGTAATTATTATGGGGCTTCTAATTAATCTTCTTTGTAAAAAGGATAGATGTTATATAATTATATATAAATGAAAAATATGTATATAAAACTCATATATAAATATAAATAAATAAATATATATATATATATATATATATATACATATAAAATTCGCGATTCAGTAAATTAAAGAAGCAATTTGATTCTTATGGGCTGTTAAAATTAAAAAAAATTAATTTAGTGTGAGATGAAAGTTTCTCAGCAAGATGAATTAGTGGCAACGCCTGAGCTTTCAGCAACCATTCTGACATCAAACGAGAAGGGTTGCCAACGGCTTCAGATCAAGCAGATTTAATGGTTCAGTAGATTGGTTTTTCCTTTTATAGACATCATGTTATATATAACGGAGCAAACTCTTTGGATAAAGCATTGGTAGAAAGTAAGTTTTCTAACATAGTGTAAATATATGAATCACATAATACTACTCCACAAGATGTACATATATCAATCTATCTCTTATATAATAACACTTTTTTATAAGTAATGAGAGCACAGATTTTCGGAAGAGCACATTTCAATTCTAGCTTTAAGAAATAAAAAATTATAACAATCATGTTTGCATTTGTATTGTAAAAAATTAGCAAATATTGATTGATCTAAATCTAAAGATCTAAATCTCGAGATATCAATAATAAGTCACTGAAAGAATTTCTTTAATATTTTAATATTTTAATTTCTTTAATATTATGATTGTAAATTATCAATGACTAAAATAAAAACTTTTAAAAATTTCTCTAGAAATTAAATACAATTGAAAAAGAAAGAAATACTTTTTGTACTTAAAAAAGAACGAAACGATCTTTGTAAAACAAATCTTTGTAAAACAAAAGAGAAGGAAGATTCGCATTTCGAATTCATGGCACGTGTTCTTCGTAGGTCGTACTTTCTGACACGCGCATTGATCCTATATAATGGGAGAACATTCATGAGATAGATCGCGAAGGATCACAGGATGGATCCATTTACTCGGAAGGTAGAGTGTATGCGTAGAAACATAATAGGCAGATAATAAAAATAAAAAAGCTTAAGTAAATAATATAAAAATAAAAAAGAAAATGAGGACAGAAAGCGGTATTGCAAATAATTTTTGTTAATAATTGCTGAAGATAAAATAAAAAAAGAACTAAAATGTTTAATTAAAGATGTTTTTATCAAAATATTCTCTCTCTTTGTTTTCTTGGATCTCATTCGCTCATCTCTCTCCTCGTTTGCAATATGATAAATTATTCGCATAAAATTAATATGTCTGCTCAACGTTACACGTGCATTCAATTTATGATATTTTAATATTACAATTAATACATAATAATGATATTCATAAGGTGAATGTGCACTTTTAAGACATTGATGATTAGGAATACAAACAAATGCAGTAATATCTTATCATCTGCTAATATAATATTATATTAATAATATAATATTAACGTACTTTAATTTTTTAAATTGTAATAATATATTTAATTAGCAATGTCTTATCGATAATATAAAATAATAATATTTGAAGATATACCCGTAATTTCATAAATTATAAATATTAACATATTTATTCAAATTAAATACATATTTAACAGCTATTAAAAATATACTTAAAAACTATTCATTGGAAATTTTGTAACTTTTTTAAAAATTTTATACAAACTTACCATTGTTTCCTTTTCATTTGATTTCTTTCTACTGTTACTCAAATTTGAATGTTTTATATGTCATTTATAATGTCACTTTATGTGTCACTTATAAGAAATTATTAAAAAATTATTAATTATTGAAATTATTACCAAGAATAACATAAATTATCTTAATATCACTAGTCAATTAATCAAAGAATCGTTAGAAATAATATAATCGACCAAACTAGCCAGAAATTTTTTGTTTATTGATTACGAAGTTTCGACCATGTGGTTGTGGTCCTTTTCAAGTAAATACTGGAATATAACAATTAAACAATTAGATTTTTAACGGTTTGAATAACAAGTACACACGCGAATTAAATGTGAACAGTTTGGATACATACAGATCAAATGACAGATATAAATCATAGTGTTGTAAAATACACAAGTCACGTTTGCACGATTATTACATCTTAAAAAATTTTTTAATCGAGAGATAAAAACGACGTGTTGATATGAGACTTCGTCAACAAACTGAGTGTTAAATAAAAAATAACGAACTACACGACCTTTATTATTTTGTCGTAGATGTTGTTTAAACTATCCGTATCCTTCTGTAAGTTAAATTATTGAATTTTTAAATATAAAACATTTCAGCAATTTCTCTTTTTCGTACATATTTTTCATTGTGTCAAATATTATGTTTCGACCAGTCAAATTCATGTCCAGATTTCAATCTATGACGTTTACTTATGACGGAATGATTCGTTTCATGTAATTTAATATTACTAAAATGTTCTTTTACCCGAGATGTCTTTTTGTTTGACCAATATATGACAAATTACAATTTTTACAATTTATATATAACATTTGTTTTATCGTTATTATGTAAAATATCCTTACTGCGTTTTATTAAAGTATTTAGTTTCTTAGTTATTTTATAGACGACATTAAAGCCATTATCTCGCAATAAACGGCACAAGTCATGACTTACGTTTTCGACATATGGTAATGATATAAAAGATATCCTGTCAAAACGTGTAAGATTTGCGTCAACAGTATTCTTGTGGTCACGATTATTTAAAAAATTGATTCTTTTTACTTGAAAAGGACCACAACCACATGGTCGAAACGTCGTAATCAATAAACAAAAAATTTCTGGCTAGTTTGGTCGATTATATTATTTCCAACAATCCTTTTATTACCAAGAAATTCTTAAAATATGCTATTTTATTATATGTCAAACTGAAAAAATTATTGGAAAAAAGAGTTAGTTTAATCGAAAATAAAATCAACGATAATGATAATACATAAAGACAAATTTATAATAAAATGCTATAAGAGAATAAAATGTCCATTTCTTTTTCTTTCGTTTTTATTTAGTTTATATCTGTTTCTTTTTAACTTTTCCTTCATCATGTCAAAAGTTTAATTTCCGAGCACGTAAATATTATTAAAATATCTGAACCTATCGTTATATTATATTCTACCAGATATGTTGTATATCTATTCAATATCTATCCACCTAATTGTTTTTCTATTTTTATCGTGATTATTTAATCGTATTTTCATTATCGTTTGTTATGGCGCACTTTATAAATTATGCATATTCCTATAGAGAAGATAAATATTCATATTGCAATAAATTCGCACTATAAATAAGTTAACTATGCATTATGTTAATTATAAGAAACGCTTCTAATTCAAATAGAAAAAAATTATCATATAATATGAATAAAAAATTACATAAAAGTCAAAAATTGTGAAAGAGACTTAAATTTAATAATACTGATACATATATGTACTCGTATATTAATAAATTTAGTAATATTTAGTATATATTAATTTATATTATTAATATATATTAATTTATTAATAATTATATATTATTAGTATATATATTAATTTATGTTATATGAAAATACTTTAGAAATAACTTCTTAAATATATAGTATATGAATTATTAAAAATCCTCATGTATGTGAATAAAATGACACATCTCTCAAAGAATTAAAAATATCGAGTTATGTCAAGAATTCAATATATATATACAAATGTAATAATTTAAATTAAATAAATTTTATAATCGATAAATCGATTTAATATTACAAACATTGCAAATTGCAAACATTATTAATTATCATTCTTGAATAAATTATAATTAACTAAATTATTTTATAAATAATTGTAAATAATTATTGCTAAATATAAATTATAAAATAAAAAAAGAAATATATGTATTAATAATTATTTAAGAAACAATTGATTCTATAAAGTTGAAATGTATTACATGAAAAAATGTTTGTCATTCCAAGTATTATTCCATTTTGTAATCCAAATGAACACTATTTTGACGTAGATTCGAAAAAAAGGTCACTGCATAAGGTCAATGCATAAGAAACAGTGAATATTTTTTGCATTTCTTAATCCATCAACTTAAATAATCGATCAAGCACATTCTTACCAGCAGGTTAAAAGGATAGAGTGCTATTTTACAAACCTGTGTATCTTTGGTGCTTTTACAATTATAGAAACGAGAAAATAATTAAGATATTTTTATTGCAATATATATTGTGTTACAGTGTGTTAACTTGATATAATTTTGCGACGTGACTTTATTAATTGATTATATCAAAAATTCGGGACGTTATTATTGTAACATCGTGGAATAATAATTTATTGCCACAATGAATGATTTTTTGATAATAACGTCGGATTTATCGACCATAGTTTATTCTCTGCTGGCTGTATTTTTCACAGCGTTAATTGCATTATATTATTATGTCGAAACTTCTAGAGTGGTTCGTCTTTCAAAACGACTTCCACGTATGTATAGAATTGAAACATTTTAATTACTACTGTATTTTCAAATAAATATTAACACGATACAAAATTGGATTTATCAAAAGGATTTAAATTTATTGATCATATTGATAATAATAAATTTTTCATTCTTCTCTTTTAGATCCACCAAGCTTACCAATAATAGGTCACGCATTAATAACTATGGGATTATCTCCAGAAACTGTGTTAGTTGTAGCTCTTCAACATCACAAAAGATATGGATCAGTAATTAGCGTATATTTTGGAACAAGAGTGGTAATCGCTCTGACAGATCCAAAAGATATCGAAATAATCTTGGGTAGTTCTGTGCATCTCGACAAATCAGTGGAATATAGGTAAAAAGTCAAATATTCTATACAATTTCGACAACAATCTATAATTTGTGATCTAATTTTGTTTCCATATTTTTCCTTTATGAAATTGTTTGTGCAAATATGTAATCTACTTATTTTAGATATTTTAGATTTGTATCCAATTTTTTCGTATTCGAAAAAAGAGATATAAACATATATATTATAAAATTCTCGTTATCTTTTTTCTTAGATATTTTCGACCATGGCTTGGAGATGGTTTATTGATCACAACTGGCGATAAGTGGCTCAGACATAGGAAAGTAATAGCGCCCACATTTCACATGAGAATTTTGAAGACATTTGTACCTGTATTTTATGAAAATAGCATGGATCTCGTTAGACAGCTTCGCGATAAAGTTGGAAAAGAATTCGATTGTCACGATTATCTATCAACTGTAACGGTTGACATTTTAATGGAAACTGCAATGGGAGTCAAAAAAAAGCAGAGGACTGGATATGATTACGCTATGGCCGTGATGAAGTAGAGAGACATTGATTTTTTTCTTAAAATTATAATATATAATATTTTATTATTTAATATTTATTATGAAGAAAACTCAATGTAATAATTTGAATGTTGTAGAATGAGCGATATCCTACATCGAAGGCATTATGATTTTCGGCTTCGTTCTGATATAACATTTAAATTTTCAAAGTTTGCGAAGAAGCAAGAGAAATTACTCAATATTATTCACATATTGACAAATAATGTAATTGAAGAAAAGTCTAGGAGCATTGATGATATAAAGGAGGAACAAAAAAATGATCAAAAGAAGAAACCTATGGAAAATGAAATCAAAAATAATGAAAATGATAAAAATATTACTTATACAAAACTGCATTATGTAAGAGATGATCTTGATGACATCGATGAAAACGACATAGGTGAAAAAAAACGACTCGCCTTTTTAGAAATGATGATTGATTTAAAAAAGAACGGTGGAAAAATGACTGATGAGGAGATTTGGGAGGAAGTAAACACTATCATGTTTGAGGTACTTCATTTTTAATATAAATTAGTAAACTTAATCGTATAAAGAATTTTCAATATATAGAAAGATATTTTTATATGTATAATTTCCTGGCACCTATAAGTATTTATATATATAATTTTCTGATATTTATATATGTATTAATTTTCGTAATTAAATTTTCTTTTTCATTTTTTCTCTTTTTTTCTTTCTCTCTCTCTCTTTTCCTCTTTCTTTATAAAAAAAATTATATTGCAAGTTACGCTATCGTACACACTATCAGATATTAATTTGATGCACTGTTAGACAAACAAATTATTTATTTATTTAGGGTCATGATACCACGGCAGCTGGCTCGAGTTTCACGCTATGCATCTTAGGAAATCATCAGGATATTCAGGTAAATTTATTAACGACCTATCTTTGCAAGAAAAAATTGTTGGAAATCATTTAACGTTTATATTTAAGTTTTTTTTAAAGGAATGATATATTGAAATTGCGTTTTATAATTATCCGCCAAAAATTATATCACATTTTCTTCATATACAACAAGATCTTATTGATATTTAAAATTTAATATTAACACTTAATATCTACCTAATAACAAAAACAATAATTAAGATATAATATTATGTAATATTATATATATTATGTAATATTATGTAATATTATATAATATTATATATATTATATATATTATGTAATATTATGTAATATTATATAATATTATAATATATTATACACAATAGTGTAGCAAGTATTTTAAAATTAAACAAAGATGTATATAAAAAGTAGTTTAATATTCTTATAAATTATTTAATCTAAAAGTTATTTTCTAAAATAATATCGATAATAATAGCTTTATCTCTGTTTTGGAATAACTACAAAAATTAAACAATTATATATGAATTTAAATTGTCACATTGTCAGTTAATAATAACATTATATAATGCTTAATTATCAAGTAAATAATAAAGTATATTCAAAATATAATTAGAAAGTTATGCGTTTTCAATTTTATTTAACTTTAAACTGAATTAACAATTTGCTTTTATGATACACACATCTACATACGCATACACATATACATTAGGACTTTTATAATATTCTTTTCTACAAGTTTTTTTCATATTGCAATATAAATTAAGACTTACCATATATTTATTGTTACTTTTTTCATGTAATTTACATGAAACATATTTTCATGTGAACAGTTTTATACATTTTATTATACATTTTCATCTTAACAAATTCTTAAATAATCTATAGAAAGAGTTAAATTTATTAAAAATACTTTACTTTAAACGTCCTCTTTAAAACAGTTACGATATATATTTTCATTTTTTTTGTTAAAGAAATCGATATTGCTCAGCCAATATTTATTTTGTATTAATTTTAATTGATGATTTTCGTTGTGTAGAGCCGCGTATATGAAGAATTGTATACGATTTTCGGTGATAGCGATAGACAATGTACTTTTCAAGATACTCTAGAAATGAAATATCTCGAAAGAGTTATTTTGGAAACTCTGAGACTTTTCCCACCAGTACCGATAATAGCCAGAAAACTTAACGAAGATGTACAGATAAGTAAGTATATCTCGTTGAATGCCATTTACAATAATATTGATTATTGTTACAAAAATTAGGAACCTATAAATTATAGGAATTTGTACAGTAAACAAAACAAAAAAAATGACATCTTTCACTATAGTTACAGGTAATTATATCCTTCCAAAAAGTGCCACGATATTAATTCCACCATTCGCAGTACATCGTTTAGAAGAATATTATCCAAATCCAACAGTTTTTAATCCGGATAATTTCCTACCGGAAAAAATGCAACAGAGACATTATTATGCCTTTATTCCTTTTAGTGCTGGACCAAGGTATTTAAAAGTTTCTTAAAATAAAGTTATTTTTGGAAATTACTAGGGCTATGAAAAATATTTCACACGAAAGATTACTTTAATTTTACACTCATTTCTTTGTAAAATTTTGACATGTTATATATTACAAGTATTCTGCGAAAATATTTTATGATAAAAACGATAGAATATACATTGTTATTACAATATTATTTGACAATATATGTAATAAAAAATTTTGTATAGATCATGCGTGGGGCGAAAATTTGCTATGCTGAAATTAAAGGTCCTTTTATCGACAATACTTAGAAATTACCGTGTCATTTCTGATGTGGCAGACAACGATTTCGTACTGCAAGGCGACATCATTCTAAAACGACATGATGGATTCAAGATCAAGCTCGAGCCGCGTGAACCAATATCTCGTACATAATTTAGGAAAACAGAAAGAAGTTAACATTTCTGTCCGCGCAAACGTAAACTAAATAAATGTAAACATGTTAACATATATTTTAGTAAAAATTCCATTTTCTATATATTTTTTTAAAGCAAGTATTCTTCTCGAAAGACTTGCTATTTTGAATATATTTTATAATATTTATGTATAAATGTATTGTATAATATATTTAAAAAATAAATATATGATATTTAAAATATATATACATATCTCATATATGCATATCCCACAAAAAATTTGACGTAAGGTAAGTAAACCAAATATGATCCACTTTATTTAATGCTAGTAAGTTAAAGGATCATGCGAAAAATGAAATGTATTTTTTAATTATTGATTATTTATTAAATTTTGTAAAAAAACCATAAGGAAGTGCTTTATTTAAAAAATTTTTATGTTTTCCGTTACATTTAAAAAAAAATATGTTTGGGTCTTATAAAAAACCCTAATGCCTAATAATGCCCATATTAAACATTAAAGAAAAACTCTATATTTACTTATGCAAGTTAACAAAAAAAATACAAGGAATATTGTAATAATGTATCTGTATTCTAGGTCTTAAAGTTTATTCGACCCGAGTCATTCACCTCCTATTGTACGATTTCGGGAAAATATCATTGTTATGCCCTTCCTTCCACCCATCCTTCTCCAGGTCTGAACGTAACAATACATATGTTTGACGTTCGTCGAGCATTAAAAATATATTGTTAAATTATATGTAAAAGAGATGCTAGTATCCTAGTAATTTTACGATTCGATTTTTATTCTTTACGATAATAATACTGACATTTATATGTTAATTGCTTGTTGCGTTTCTATCGAGAGTAATATCGAGAGTATAATATTTTATCAAAATTCGCTTATTTCAAAGTAGCTAGAAAAACAATTAAATCTCTGCGATCTTCGACCTTCTTAATACGATAGAATGCCTTTTTTGTTCCTGAAATAAACTTTTTAGGAAATTCGAGATAATTATTTAAACTCCTCTCATCCCATACAACAGCTTTTTCATGGTTTCTGTAAAATTAAAACCTGGGACAGCTGAAAAAATTAAACTAATTACGTATTAATAACTAATAACATTATATTTAAAAAACATCAAAATTTTTGAAATATTTTTAATGTTATAATATTATTGAATTTATTTTTAATTGAATTAACAAATTAAGTTCATTAATATACATACTTCCAGAAGTCTTCCCTATAATACCATGTAAGTTAGAGCTATTTTATGTTTACCACCGTGGTATGACAAAAAGCACACATTTTCATGAACAGTTTTTTACCATTAATCGGATCGCCCATTTCTCTTAACAAACATTAATAATCATTAATTTATTAATTAAACTAAAATAATTTGTTAAAATAAGATTTATATCTTAATCGTATCCTAGTCATGGACGTATAATATATTCGCGTTGACTTCGCGTTTGGCTAGAATATTGTACAAATTTTAAAAGGAGACACCATCTCTCATGATGTTAGTTTTTCTATCAATAACAAGAGTGGGGAAAAAATTTTAATATGGCCACTGCGTTTGACATATATCTTGAGCGACTTTTTTTCTCCACCATGTATCATTAAACAAAGAAAAATCTAACATGAACATAAATTTTCTCTTTCTAAAATTTCATGTTGCCAAAACAAAGGAAAGAATGAGAACGTACAGTTTATATACGTCTTTATTATACGTCTTATTATACGTCTATGATCACTTAATATTTTTGGATTTCATAAATGTTACGTTACTGTGAGCTAGAGGAAAAGAAAAAGGGCAGAGAACTTGGCAAAATGAGGCAGGTGCACAAGTTTCATTTCGTGTCCTGGCAAACAGCCTCGGTTTCGTCCAAAGTCATGTCAAGCTTCGGCTCTTCGTTGTTTATTAGTCAATCATTTATCGTATTAGAAATCTTCATTAAAAAAACTAAAACAATTTTTTTAAATATGATAAGAACTAATATTTCCTACATTAGTTGAATGAAACTAATGTAAAATATCTATTAATCACAACAGCTTTTATTAGAAAAATTCAAATAGCAACAATTCATAAATGTTTCCATCTAGAAGCAACGAACATATGTAAGATGTCTTATTAATCAGCAATGTTATTAATCGCATATCTCAACATATTTATATATCAATTAAAAATAAAATAACATCACAAAAAAATGCTCTCTTATAAAATGTAAATTGCCAGGCCAATCAATCGCAAAGTTGGAAGTCTTTTTCGAACAAATCAGGATGGGGGAGGAATCTGACATAAGAATTGATCGCGAGGTGTACAGGTGCACAGACTAACGAGCGTGGTCTGTTCTTCCAGGTAGGATAAGAAAGAAGAAAGGAAGAAAAGGGGAAGAGTAGAAGAGAGAAGATGAAAATGACCTGGAAAAAGCAGATCAAAGGCGCGAGCAGCAAGAAAAGGGCGAGGATAAAGATAAGACTTTGACAGATCTCGAATGACGAACAAGTAAAGAGGAAGCGATTGCGCTCGCGAAAGAGATAACGAAATGATTTATTATCGAACATGGAATAATCGCTGATACGAGTGAAAAATAGCGGGAGAAACGCGACATCAAGTCGGGATGAAGAAAAGACGTGAGAAGCTGAGATACGTGTTGAAAAGTCGAGACTTTTACGAGATTCCCCGATTAAATGACGCGTCAGTAAATGGAGCAATTCGCGATTCTTTCACGTAGAAGCTCTACCCTCGTAAAAAATTTGGACGCGTCAACCGCCCCCCGTTTCGGGCACTTCGGAAGCCCTTTGACAGCCAAGCAGAGACGAAGAGACGCTCGTTAACTGTTCCAAAGACTGTCGCTCTCTTTTTGTTCCTCTTAAAAAGGGGAGTAGCAACGTCTTTGTTGCGATCGTTAAGCTTTCGACCAAAAGTACTCGAGTACCCCGAAAGATACATCGACGAGTAGCGGTCGCCGATACACGAGATAGATGAAACGGGCTGCCCGACCGCGGATCCGACTTCTCGATGAAATACGGTTTGGCCAATTAAGTCACGATAAGATCGCCGCGGTGGCGAGTTTTGAAACGACTTCATTAGACTACCCATAAAATTCATTGGTTAGCCGTGAAACGGTACCGAGGGACTCGGTGCGGGGAGGACAGGTTAAGGGGACAGGTGCCCGCGCGTGTCGTACATCACCTCGGGAGGTACCAGGTATATACGTTCAGAAGGAACGTCTCGATTTCCACACAAAAAGAAATGATTAGAGCTTATTAGCGGCGACATCTCCTGAAGAATCTTGATAGAGGCGAGGCGGGATTCTTGCGCGTGTGCCGAGGCTGATTTTTCGTCGATATTGTTCTTCTTTCGAGGTAAAGGAATGCGGCGAAACTTGTGGCAAGTAAAAGAATATTTATATATTTTCAAAATAAATAAAATTGCATGTTACAATCGAAGAGCACGTGTACAAAACTCGACACGTCCAAAAAATCGAAAATGAGTGAAACAAGATTCTGGACTTTAATTCTTGATTTGTTCTTTTCTGATTTAATTCGTACAAAAGTTCCTTAAGATTTCCGAGCAAAACTTAATTATTTAATTAACTATTTAGTGACAGTTTTAAATAATTAAATATGTATTAAAACATTTAATATAAATTATTTAATAATATATATAATTTATTAATAAATTATAAACTCTTTTTTTCTCTATGTTAGAAGGACTGATTGAGTCCTCAATTGTGTGAATGTTGTCGACAATTTTTCTCCACGTTCAAAAATATCCCTCCAATAATAAAGTTGAAGTCCCCGTAAAATTGTAAGATGAAGGAAGTTTATTTCCCAAATTCTTTCTAGGCACACGAGGCTTCGTCACGGAGGCCTCTCTTAGAAAAGGGGATGCGGACGTTGGATAGAGATGTTTCAGCAAGGAGTAATGATACAGGCGGCTGGACACGCGCTTGCTCGCTCGCGCGAAGCTTCCGCGGTGCCGTTTATATCCAACCGGTCTTCTCTCGGCGGCACCGACAAGTTCTCTCTCTCTCTCTTTCTCTCTCTCTCTCTCTTTCTTTCTCTTTCTTGCGTTGTTTTATTTCGCTGAAATGAGATCAAACGGCCGGGCATCGGCGAAATTTGTTGCCGCCTTCGCTCGACTCGACTCGGGCGCTGTTTCTTCCCAATAATAATAAGTTCCCTAAAAAGGCCGTTGTTTTATGCATCCGGAAGAGACGGTCCCGCCGCGAATCGTAAAAGAGAAGCGTATCGATGAATAATAAAAGTAGCTGGACGCGCGGAGGTAATATCGCGAAAGGGGAAAGAGGGGGAGGAGGGAAGGAATTTCTCCGTGTATCGAAAAGCCAGGGATGCCAAAAAAGACGGCGAGGTGTTTTGCGCCGCGAGGTTTTTAACGATCACGCTACTTATTAATACACCCGTGTGTAATTATCCTCGAGAAGATAACATGTTACCTCATAACTCCTAATTTTTGAAGTTTATATCCCCTCTCTTTTAGCGTAGTTATAAATTTTCACGATCAATCGGCCTTCGATTTATAATGCAATCGAGGTTGTGCTCCAAGAACAGTTAGGTTCTCCTCAATTTCGACTTATAGACTCGAATGATCGAAAGATAAAATTGAGAAAATATATATTTCAATTAAGCATTTTTTATATTAATTGCATGTTTGCGGGATTATTTTTACATTGACAGAAATTTTTTTAATATATATTTGTATCAAAATTTCTGATTTATATTACATAATCGTGCTCGTGGAACAAGACGATGTTTAAACAAACGATAAATTGCAAAAGAATTACGATGATACATAGTTGTAGCAGGAAGAGTGAAAGGATCAACCGACTATTAAGCGAGCAAGTGGTACCGTGGACCCTGCATTTACCTTCATTATTCCCACGTGGACTCGTTGAAAATCTCACGTGAAACTCTAATGAATACTAATTTCGAACCGGACTCCGGTCCGGCCAAATTTCAGGTCTTTTACCAGGCAAGGCGATAAAACTTGAGTTCGAGAGCGTGCGTGGATCCTCGATTCTCTCCGCGAAGGAAGAAATGCCATCTCACTTACGCCCTGCGCGTCCT